AATAATTTGTAGAATAATTTGTAGAATAATTTGTAGAATAATTTGTAGAATAATTTGTAGAATAATTTGTAGAATAAAAGTGATTATAGATAATCGAAATGTTTTATCTACTATTATTATCAATTATCAGAGCGTACATGCATTATTTCGGTTAGTTATTGTCGATAGAAATACTTAGATGGGAACCAATTGAATGTAACAGTGATACTTAAGTATATCTTAAGACTATATATATACATATATACATATATACTATAACATATATACTATAAAATATCTTACGTACACATTACACATTTGATTGTACACGAAAAGGAAAAGACATCATTGTCGACTATAACTTCCAAGTCTGGAAACGAATAAATATTGATTGGACAATAATGAAGATCTGTCTTCCTTTGACTGAATGTTGGTCACAAATCTACTTAGAAGCAAACAAAAAAAAATTTTAAAAAAGGTTATCAATTCTAATTTCTGATATTGTTTTAACTTTTTTTTTTTAGTATCGGGTAATTCTAATAATAACATTTGCACGAGGATTGAAACCTTTTAAAACTTACATTCTTTATAAATTTTTTATAGATATTTCTTTAACCACAATATCCGCAATATCCGCAATATCCAAAATATTTGATTAATTTCCGTCTACAGAGATACATTCATATATAATAATATATTTGTCTAGGGCGATACAAGTGAAACTTTTTTTTTAAAAAAAAACAAACATGTTAATTACTTCCGCAGTTTCATTAGCAATTACTACTATTTCTGTAACTGTTCCAGTAGTATTTTACTGCACTATAAAAGACTGCTGTTTCCCGGTAAGTCTTAAGCAATAAAATTGAGTGATAAGATATAATATAATGAAAATATAATATAATGAAAAGTTAGTACAACTCATCAAAAAGTTGGTAAAGTTCGGGGCATTTCGTAGCGTTTTTTTTGTTTATAGAATTTTTTTTTTTAATTGTGTAGAAAAAGGCTCCGAATGATCGAGATTTTAAAACTGTGTCATTTATTCGAATTAATGATTCTGATGGTATGTGACCAGTATGATATGTCATTATGAATATCTATTTTTGACTATTTTGAATGGTTTTTTTTTT